ACACAGCTTATGGAAGACAACCGATGGAAGACAACTGATGGAAGACAACTGATGGAAGACAACCGATGGAAGACAACCGATGGAAGACAACCGATGGAAGACAACCGATGGAAGACAAACGATGGAAGACAAACGATGGAAAGACAAACGATGGAAGACAACGATGGAAGACAACTGATGGAAGACAACCGAAGACAACCGATGGAAGACTACCGATGGAAGACAACAGATGGAAGACAGCTGATGGAAGATAACCGATAGAACACAGCTAATGGAAGACAACCGATGGAAGACAGCTGATGGATGATAACCGATAGAACACAGCTAATGGAAAACAACCGATGGAAGACAGCTGATGGAAGATAACCGATAGAACACAGCTAATGGAAGACAACCGATGGAAGACTGCTGAAGGAGGATAACCGATAGAACACAGCTAACGGAAGACAACTGATGGAAGACAACCGACAACTGATGAAGACAGTGACAGCGGAAGACAACTGATGATAACCGATAGAACACACTGATTGAAGACAGCTGATGAAAGACAGCTGATGGAAAATAACCGATAGAACACAGCTTATGGAAGACAACCGATGGAAGACAACTGATGGAAGACAAACGATGAAAGACAACCGATAGAAGACAACCGATGGAAGACAACTGATGGAAGACAACCGATGGAAGTCAGCCGATGAAAGACAACTGATGGAAGTCAGCATTTGGAAGACAACTGATGAAAGACAACCGATATAAAACAGCTGATGGAAGACAGCTGATGGAAGACAGCTGATGGAAGACAGCTGATGGAAGACAACCGATGAAAGACAACTGATGGAAGACAACCGATGGAAGACAGCTGATGGAAGATAGCCGATAGAACACAGCTAATGGAAGACAACCGATAGAAGACAACTGAGGGAAGACAGCTGACGGAAGACAGCTGATGGAAGATAACTGATAGAACACAGCTAATGGAAGACAACCGATGGAAGACAACCGATGGAAGACAACCGATGGAAGACAACCGATAGAAGACAACCGATGGAAGATAACCGATGGAAGACAAACGATGGAAGAAAACCGATAGAAGACTACCGATGGAAGACAGCTGATGGAAGATAACCGATAGAACACAGCTAATGGAAGACAACCGATGGAAGACAACCGATAAAAGACTACCGATGGAAGACAGCTGATGGAAGATAAAGGATAGAACGCAGCTAATGGAAGACAACCGATGGAAGACTACCGATGGAAGACAACAGATGGAAGACAGCTGATGGAAGATAACCGATAGAACACAGCTAATGGAAGACAACCGATGGAAGACAGCTGATGGATGATAACCGATAGAACACAGCTAATGGAAGACAACCGATGGAAGACAGCTGATGGAAGATAACCGATAGAACACAGCTAATGGAAGACAACCGATGGAAGACTGCTGAAGGAGGATAACCGATAGAACACAGCTAACGGAAGACAACTGATGGAAGACAACTGATGGAAGACAGCTGATGAAAGACAGCTGATGGAAAATAACCGATAGAACACAGCTTATGGAAGACAACCGATGGAAGACAACTGATGGAAGACAACCGATGGAAGACAACCGATGGAAGACAACCGATGGAAGACAACCGATGGAAGACAACCGATGGAAGACAACCGATGGAAGACAAACGATGGAAGACAACCGATAGAAGACAACCGATGGAAGACTACCGATGGAAGACAACAGATGGAAGACAGCTGATGGAAGATAACCGATAGAACACAGCTAATGGAAGACAACCGATGGAAGACAGCTGATGGATGATAACCGATAGAACACAGCTAATGGAAGACAACCGATGGAAGACAGCTGATGGAAGATAACCGATAGAACACAGCTAATGGAAGACAACCGATGGAAGACTGCTGAAGGAGGATAACCGATAGAACACAGCTAACGGAAGACAACTGATGGCAGACAACTGATGAAAGACAGCTGATGAAAGACAGCTGATGGAAAATAACCGATATAACACAGCTTATGGAAGACAACCGATGGAAGACAACTAATAGAAGACAGCAGATGGAAGTCAGCCGATGAAAGACAGCTGATGAAAGACAACCGATATAAAACAGCTGATGGAAGACAACCGATCAAAGACAACCGATGAAAGACAACAAATTGAAGACAGCTGATATAAGTCAGCAGATGGAAGACAACTGATGGAAGTCAGCTGATGGAAGACGACTGACGAATGACAGCCTATTGAAGACAACCGATAGAAGACAGCTGATGGAAGACGACTGACGAAAGACAGCCGATTGAAGACAACCGACAGAAGACAGCTGATGGAAGACGACGGACGGAAGACAGCCGATTGAAGACAACTGATGGAAGTCAGCCGATACAAGACAACTGATGGAAGTCAGCCGATGGAAGACAACTGATCAAAGACAGCTGAGGGAATACAGTCGATGGAAGACACTCGATAGAAGACGGCTAATGGAAGACAACACATGGAAGACAGTCGATGGAAGACAGTCGATTGAAGACAGTTGATGAAAGACAGCCGATGGAAGACAACCGATGGAAGACAACTAATAGAAGACAGATAACTGAAGACAGCTGATGGAAGATAGCTGATGGAAGACAACCGATGAAAGACAACAGATAGAAGACAGCAGATGGAAGACAGGCGATAGAAGACAGTCGATGGAAGACAACTGATGGAAGTCAGCTGATGGAAGACAACCGATAGAAGACAGCTGATGGAAGACAACTGATAGAAGACAGCTGATGGAAGACAGCTGATAGATGACAGCTGATGGAAGACATCCGATGGAAGACAGCTGATGGAAGACAGTCGATGGAAGACAGTCGATGGAAGACACCCGATGGAAGACAGCTGATGGAAGTCAGCCGATGGAAGACAGTCAATGAGAGACAACCGATGTAAGGCAACCGATGAAATACAGCCGATGAAAGACAGTCGATGAAAGACAGCCGATGTAAGGCAACCGATGAAAGACAACCGATGGAAGACAGCTGATGAAAGAAAGCTCATGGAAGACAACAGATGGAAGACAACAAATGGAAGACAACCGATGAAGGACAACTGATAGAGCACAGCCGATAGAAGACAACCGATAGAAGCCAGCTGATGGAAGACAACTGATGGAACACAACCGATGGAAGACAACAGACAGAAGACAGCTGATGGAAGACGACTGACGGAAGACAGCCGATTGAAGACAACTGATGGAAGTCAGCCGATACAAGACAACTGATGGAAGTCAGCCGATGGAAGACAACTGATCGAAGACAGCTTAGGGAATACAGTCGATGGAAGACAGGTTCTAGAAGACGGCTAATGGAAGACAACACATGGAAGACAGTCGATTGAAGACAGTCGATTGAAGACAGTTGATGAAAGACAGCCGATGGAAGACAACCGATGGAAGACAACTAATAGAAGACAGCAGATGGAAGACAGTCGATGGAAGACAGTCGATGGAAGACAACTGATGGAAGTCAGCTGATGGAAGACAACCGATAGAAGACAGCTGATGGAAGACAACTGATAGAAGACAGCTGATGGAAGACAGCTGATGGATGACAGCTGATGGAAGACATCCGATGAAAGACAGCTGATGGAAGACAGTCGATGGAAGACAGTCGATGGAAGACAGTCGATGGAAGACAGCCGATGGAAGACAGCTGATGGAAGACAGTCAATGAGAGACAACCGATGTAAGGCAACCGATGAAAGACAGCCGATGGAAGACAGCCGATGAAAGACAGCCGATGTAAGGCAACCGATGAAAGACAACCGATGGAAGACAGCTGATGGAAGACAACTGATGGAACACAACCGAAGGAAGACAACAGACAGAAGACAGCTGATGGAAGACGACTGACTGAAGACAGCCGATTGAAGACAACTGATGGAAATCAGTCGATACAAGACAACTGATGGAAGTCAGCCGATGGAAGACAACTGATCGAAGACAGCTGAGGGAATACAGTCGATGGAAGACAGGTTATAGAAGACGGCTAATGGAAGACAACACATGGAAGACAGTCGATGGAAGACAGTCGATTGAAGACAGTTGAAAGACAGCCGATGGAAGACAACCGATGGAAGACAACTAATAGAAGACAGATGACTGAAGACAGCTGATGGAAGACAGCTGATGGAAGACAACCGATGAAAGACAACCGATAGAAGACAGCAGATGGACGACAGTCGATGGAAGACAATCGATGGAAGACAACTGATGGAAGTCAGCTGATGGAAGACAACTGATAGAAGACAGTTGATGGAAGACAGCAGATGGAAGACAGCTGATGGAAGACATCCGATGGAAGACAGCTGATGGAAGACAGTCGATGGAAGACAGTCGATGGAAGACAGCCGATGGTGGACAGCTGATGGAAGTCAGCCGATGGAAGACAGTCAATGAGAGACAACCGATGTAAGGCAACCGATGAAAGACAGCCGATGGAAGACAGCCGATGAAAGACAGCCGATGTAAGGCAACTGATGAAAGGCAACCGATGGAAGACAGCTGATGGAAGAAAGCTCATGGAAAACAACTGATGGAAGACAACCGATGGAAGACAACAGATGGAAGACAACCGATGAAAGACAACTGATAGAACACAGCCGATAGAAGACAACCGATAGAAGACAGCTGATGGAAGACAACTGATGGAACACAACCGATGGAAGACAACAGACGGAAGACAACAGATGGAAGACAACAGATGGAAGACAACAGATGGAAGACAACAGATGGAGGACAACCGATGGAAGACAACAGATGGAAGACAGTCGATGGAAGACAGCTGATAGAAGACAGTCTGAAGTTGTACCTATGTGAAATTGAGGTCTTTCCAATTTGGGGAAGAGGCTTTTTTTTATAACGTCAATAAACCGATTATACCAACAATAAACATCGCTGCGAATGTTCCAAATAAACAGATTGAACAGAGTACTCACACACAAGTGGCATTTGGAAAGGCCTGACATCTGGTGGCATTACAGGGCTGCTGGAAACACGCGACAGGGCGGTTACCGTCCGGACAAACCTCGGGACTGGAGGCTGTAGGCAGAGACGGTTCACGTGTTGTTAATTATGTGCACATCAGGTCATTTACTGAATTGTTGATAATGTATGCAAATATGGTGTTAAAGGTCAGGTCTTTCACACTCTGTTGGATCAGTTTCAGTTGGCTGGTTTTGGCATAGATGCAAAATAAATACCCCGCCACTATGGCAGGCCTGAGAGGTCAAGAATAAGCTATTATGGTATGCATGAGAGGTCAAGAATAGGCAACTATGGCAAGCCTGAGAGGTCAAGAATATTTTAGTATGGCAGGCCTGAAAGGTCAAGAGTCAGCTACTATGGCATGCCTGAAAGGTCAAGAGTCAGCTACTATGGCATGCCTGAAAGGTCAAGAGTCTGCTACTATGCAGGCCTGAAAGGTCAAGAGTCAACAACTATGGCAGGCCTGAAAGGTCAAGAGTCAGCTACTATGGCATGCCTGAAAGGTCAAGAGTCAGCTACTATGGCAGGCCTGAAAGGTCAAGAATCAGCCACTATGGCAGGCCTGAAAGGTTAAGAATCAGCCACTATGGCAGGCCTGAAAGATCAAGAATATTTTAGTATGGCATGCCTGAAAGGTCAGGAATATTTTAGTATGGCATGCCTGAAAGGTCAAGAATATTTTAGTATGGCATGCCTGAAAGGTCAAGAATATTTTAGTATGGCAGGCCTGAAAGGTCAAGAATATTTTAGTATGGCAGGCCTAAAAGGTAAAGAATAAGCTACTATGGCATGCCTGAGAGGTCAAGAATAAGCTACTATGGCATGCCTGAGAGGTCATGAATAAGCTACTATGGCATGCCTGAGAGGTCAAGAATAAGCTACTATGGCATGCCTGAGAGGTCAAGAATAAGCTACTATGGCATGCCTGAGAGGTCAAGAATAGGCTATTATGGCAAGCCTGAGAGGTCAAGAATTAGCTACTATGGCAAGCCTGAGAGGTCAAGAATTAGCTACTATGGCAGGCCTGAGAGGTCAGGAATCAGGAGGACCAGAATACCAGTAAAACCCAGGGTTCAGACAGTTTTCTGACTGACAAAGGACTGGAATGAAGCAAAACCAGAAGGAAAACTGCAGATAGAGACGTCAGGTGATCGCTCTTGCAAACCCCTACATCCCAGGGTAGAAGTGGATCGACTTAGTGAGTACGTATGCAAATGTTGAATATTGACTTCATTGATCTCAGCAAGTCATTAATGCTACCAACGTCATTGTAATTCATTTCTTGTAATTCATTTATTGTATTTCATTTACTATTATTCATTCATTGTAATTCATTCATTGTAAGTTATTCATTGTGCAATTTATTTGTAGTGTGAAGGTTGCTTTATTCTATTCACCATATGATACACTGTGTGATATATACAGAGTTTGATTATGTTTTGCTCACATATGTCTGTAATAGTCCAAACCGTCAAGTGTTGTTAGTCATGTCTGCAATAGTCTAAGCCGTCAGGTGTTGTTAGTCATGTCTGCAATAGTCTAAGCCGTTAAGCGTTGTTAGTTATGTCTGTAATAGTCCAAGCCGTCAAGCATTGTTAGTTATGTCTGTAATAGTCCAAGCCGTCAAGCGTTGTTAGTTATGTCTGTAATTGTCCAAGCCTTATGGCGTTGTTAGTTATGTCTGTAATAGTCCAAGCCGTCAAGCGTTGTTAGTTATGTCTGTAATAGTCCAAGCCGTGTGGTGTTGTTAGTTATGTCTGTAATTGTCCAAGCCGTGTGGCGTTGTTAGTTATGTCTGTAATAGTCCAAGCCGTTAAGTGTTGTTAGTTATGTCTGTAATAGTCCAAGCCGTTAAGTGTTGTTAGTTATGTCTGTAATAGTCCAAGCCGTGTGGCGTTGTTAGTTATGTCTGTAATTGTCCAAGCCGTTAAGTGTTGTTAGTTATGTCTGTAATAGTCCAAGCCGTTAAGTGTTGTTAGTTATGTCTGTAATAGTCTTAGCCGTGTGTCGTTGTTTGTCATGTCTGTAATAGTCTAAGCCGTCAGGTGTTGTTAGTTATGTCTGTAGTAGTCCAAGCCGTGTGGTGTTGTTAGTCACGTCTGTAACTCATTTGTTTTCTTCTGATGTTAATACCATGTTTCCTCATTAGGCCCACAACTTTCTTGCTAATGCTTTACTCGTTGTTTTTATGGTTTCATTTGTGTCCTCACATTCTCTCTAGACCCAGAATTCTGGTGTTGGACTTTTCTGAATGCAAAGAAATTCATCTTTGCACTTGGACTCACAGGCTTCACCGGCCTATACTGATTCACGCCACATGAGTGACGTCAACAACAGGAGCTATTCATTGCCAGCTGTTCTTGGGCTAGCACCATATACCCCTACCGTGCACCACGTGGACAAACGTCCTTGACTTTTCCAGATCTTCTCAGATGCTGTAATTGTATTCACTATTACAGACATGTCTGTTTTGTGTGTTGCGTGATGTCTGTTTTGTGGTGTGTGAAGTGGGATGTCTGTTTTGTTTTGTGTGTTGTGTGGTGTGGTGTCTGTGCTGCGTGCTCTGTGGTGTGCGGTGTCTGTGCTACATGATGTGTGCTGTGTGATGTGTGATGTCTGTTTTGTGGTGGGTGTGGTGTGTGATGTCTGTTTTGTGGTGTGTGATGTCTGTTTTGTGGTCTGTAGTGTGTGCTGTGTGGTGTTTGTGGTGTGTGCCACGCGGTGTCTGTTTTGTGGTGTGGTATCTGTGGTGTGTGCAGTGGGATGTCTGTTTTGTGGTGTGATGTCTGTTTTGTGTTGTGATGACTGTTTTGTAGTGTGATGTCTGTTTTGTGGTGTGATGTCTGTGGTGTGTGTTTTGTTGTGTGTGGTGTCTGTGGTATGTGATGTATGATGTTTGTTTTGTGGTGTGATGTCTGTTTTGTGATGTGGTGTCTGTGTGACCACAGGGTGGGTACAAAGCAACACTTACGGCAGAACCGGGTCACTTCCGTGTCGTTGACGAAATATCGGGCATTACATCCTCCACAGTAGTCGTCTCTGGGACATGGGGATGAATATATGACTGTGTAAATATATGTTTGTGTGGGGATACAAACAGATGTTGATGTGTAAATATATGTCTGTGTGGGGATACAAACAGATGTTGATGTGTAAATATATGTTTGTGTCTGGATACAAACAGATGTTGATGTGTAAATATATGTTTGAGTGGGGATACAAACAGATGTGGATGTGTAAATATATGTTTGTGTGGGGATACAAACAGATGTGGATGTGTAAATATATGTTTGTGTGGGGATACAAACAGATGTTGATGTGTAAATATATGTTTGTGTGGGGATACAAACAGATGTTGATGTGTAAATATATGTTTGTGTGGGGATACAAACAGATGTTGATGTGAAAATATATTTTTGTGTGGGGATACAAACAGATGTTGATGTGTAAATATATGTTTGTGTGGGGATACAAACAGATGTTGATGTGTAAATATATGTTTGCTGGGGATACAAACAGATGTCAGTGTGTAAATATGTGTTTGTGTGACGAGACAAACACATGTTAATGCGTAAATATGGGTTTGTGTGGTGATACAAAAAGATGTTGATGTGTTAATATATGTTTGTGTGGGGATACAAACAGATGTTGATATGTAAATATATGTTTGTGTGGGGATACAAACAGATGTTGATGTGTAAATATATGTTTGTGTGGGGATACAAACGGATGTTGATGTGTAAATATGTGTTTGCTGGGGACACAAACAGATGTCAGTGTGTAAATATGTGTTTGTTTGACGAGGCAAACACATGTTAATGCGTAAATATGGGTTTGTGTGGTGATACAAACAGATGTTGATGTGTTAATATATGTTTGTGTGGGTATACAAACAGATGGCAATGTGTAAATATATGTTTGTGTGGAGAGACAAACATGTTTGAATGTGTAAAATTTGTGTTTGTGTGGAGAGACAAACAGATGTTAATGTGTAAATATGTGTTTGTGTAGACACAAACATATATTTTGGTGTAAAGATGTGTTTGTGTAGAAAGACATACAGATGTTAATTTTTGCAAATTTATGTTTGTGTAAAGAGACAAACATGTATTGATTGTAAATATATGTTTATGTAGGGAGACAAAACATATGGCAATGTGTAAACATATATATGTGTGGGGAGACAAACATGTGTTGATGTGTCAATATATGTTTGTGTAGAGAGACAAAGCTGTGTGGATGTGTAACTATAAGTTTGTGCAGAGTGACAAACATGTGTTGATGTGTAAATATATGTTTGTGTATAGTGACAAACCTGTGTAAATATATGTTTGTGTAGAGTGACAAACATGTGTTGATGTCTAAATATATGTTTGTGTAGAGTGACAAACATGTATTGATGTGTCAATATGTGTTTGTGTAAAGTGACAAACATGTGTTGATGTGTAAATATGTGTTTGTGTGGAGTGACAAACAGATGTTATTGTGCGAATATATATTTGTAATTAGAGACAGAATTGTGTTGATGTGTAAATACGTCGGAGCTGAGAGACAAACATGTGGTAATATGTAATATGTATTTGTGTAAAGACGCAAATAGATGTGAATGTGTAAATATGTTTTTGTGGAGGAAAAAACAGGTGTTGATGATTAAATATATGATTGTTTGGAGAGACAAACAAATGTCGTGTAAATATCTGTCTGGTTAGTGTAGATCAACATATAATGTGTACATATATGTCTGTGTAGGGGAGATTGAACGATAGGTATACAAATTTACTGTGCCGATATGATGAAATACACCCCATGTGAATGTATATATATATATATATATATATATATATATATATATATATATATATATATATATATATATATATATATATATATATATATATATATACCTCTGTGTATGAAGACAATAAATGACTGTGCTTAGTATACCTGTGTGTATGGAGACAATATATGACTGTGCTTAAATGTATACCTGTGTGTTGTTGTGTTGTTGTTTGTTTAACAATATATGACTGAGCTTAAATGTATACCTGTGTGTATGGAGACAATAAATGACTGAGCTTAAATGTACACCTGTGTGTATGGAGACAATAAATGACTGAGCTTAAATGTACACCTGTGTGTATGGAGACAATAAATGACTGAGCTTAAATGTATACCTGTGTGTATGGAGACAATATATGACTGAGCTTAAATGTATACCTGTGTGTATGGAGACAATATATGACTGTGCTTAAATGTATACCTGTGAGTAACCTGGCCTTCATATGGGATGCAATTATTTTTGTTTTTTAAAGCCCCATCTAGGTTGTAGGCGTGGGCCCTATAATAACCTAACTGTTAAACGTGCATTTTCATCTGAATGGAGGCAATTTGTGTCACATGGTATTTATAGCTCGTTGACGGTTCTGGAGAGGGAGGAAGGGGGGGGGGGGTAGGATAAGGTTAAGCGCCATTCACTCGATGTACACGTGTGCAGGCCCGGAGATGGCAGGACGCCATGTCGAGTCTGGGGACATCATCTCTAACTATCCTGTTGTCCAGAGAACACCACAGGTCAACTGCCTTCTCTAGGCTGATTGCAGCACTCATCTGTGTTCACCAGTCGACCATCTTATCTACAGTCGCCTGTAACTCTTCAGCTATTTGATTACGATCTCTTCCCTAACTTTATACAAGAACGTCATCTGCAAATGTCAACATTCTGCTAACTCCGGGTGTTTCTTGTGAAATGTCAGTATTCTGTTAACTCCAGTTGTTTCCTGGTAGGCAATCTTGCTCGTAAAAACATTGAACAGTACACGTGAAACTGCAGATCCCTACAGATCTATGTCGTAGTCCTGGAGCTATAGTACATGGTGGTGACCGTGTAACAGAAAAGTGCAACAGTTGTGACCGTGTAACAGATAAGCACAACAGTTGTGACCGTGTAACAGATAAGCACAACAGTTGTGACCGTGTAACAGATAAGTGCAACAGTTGTGACCGTGTAACAGATACGTGCAACAGTTGTGACCGTGTAACAGATAAGTGCAACAGTTGTGACTGTGTAACAGATAAGTGCAACAGTTGTGACCGTGTAACAGATAAGTGCAACAGTTGTGACCGTGTAACAGATAAGTGCAACAGTTGTGACCGTGTAACAGATAAGTGCAACAGTTGTGACCGTGTAACAGATAAGTGCAACAGTTGTGACCGTGTAACAGATAAGCACAACAGTTGTGACCGTGTAACAGATAAGCACAACAGTTGTGACCGTGTAACAGATAAGTGCAACAGTTGTGACCGTGTAACAGATAAGCACAACAGTTGTGACCGTGTAACAGATAAGCACAACAGTTGTGACCGTGTAACAGATAAGTGCAGCAGTTGTGACCGTGTAACAGATACGCGCAACAGTTGTGACTGTATAAAAGATAAGTGTAGCAGTTGTGACCGTGTAACAGATACGCGCAACAGTTGTGACTGTAAAACAGATACGTGCAACAGTTGTGACCGTAAAACAGATAAATGCAAGTTATGACTGTAAAACGTATAAGTGCAACAGTTGTGACTGTGTAACTGATAAGCACAACAGTTGTGACAGTGTAACAGACAAGTGTAACAGTTGTGACTGTGTAACAGATAAGTGCAACAGTTATGACTGTGCAACATATAAATGTAACAGTTGTGACCGTGTAACAGATAAGTGCAACAGTTGTGACCGTGTAACAGACAAGTGTAACAGTTGTGACTGTGTAACAGATAAGTGTAACAGTTGTGACCGTGTAACAGATAAGTGCAACAGTTGTGACCGTGTAACAGACAAGTGTAACAGTTGTGACCGTGTAACAGACAAGTGTAACAGTTGTGACTGTGTAACAGATAAGTGCAACAGTTGTGACCGTGTAACAGACAAGTGTAACAGTTGTGACCGTGTAACAGATAAATGCAACAGCTGTGACCGTGTAACAGATAAGTGCTACAGTTGTGACCGTAAAACAGATACGTGCAACAGTTGTGACCGTAAAACAGATAAATGCAAGTTATGACTGTAAAACGTATAAGTGCAACAGTTGTGACTGTGTAACTGATAAGCACAACAGTTGTGACAGTGTAACAGACAAGTGTAACAGTTGTGACTGTGTAACAGATAAGTGCAACAGTTATGACTGTGCAACATATAAATGTAACAGTTGTGACCGTGTAACAGATAAGTGCAACAGTTGTGACCGTGTAACAGACAAGTGTAACAGTTGTGACTGTGTAACAGATAAGTGTAACAGTTGTGACCGTGTAACAGATAAGTGCAACAGTTGTGACCGTGTAACAGACAAGTGTAACAGTTGTGACCGTGTAACAGACAAGTGTAACAGTTGTGACTGTGTAACAGATAAGTGCAACAGTTGTGACCGTGTAACAGACAAGTGTAACAGTTGTGACCGTGTAACAGATAAATGCAACAGCTGTGACCGTGTAACAGATAAGTGCTACAGTTGTGACCGTGTAACAGATAAATGTAACAGTTGTGACCGTGTAACATATAAATGTAACAGTTGTGACCGTGTAACAGATAAGCGCAACAGTTGTGACCGTGTAACGGACAAGTGTAACAGTTGTGACCGTGTAACAGATAAATGTAACAGTTGTGACCGTGTAACATATAAATGTAACAGTTGTGACCGTGTAACAGATAAGCGCAACAGTTGTGACCGTGTAACGGACAAGTGTAACAGTTGTGACCGTGTAACAGATAAGTGCTACAGGTGTGACTGTGTAACAGATAAGTGCTACAGGTGTGACTGTGTAACAGATAAGTGCTACAGGTGTGACTGTGTAACAGATAAGTGCTACAGGTGTGACTGTGCAACAGATAAGTGCTACAGGTGTGACTGTGTAACAGATAACTGCAACAGTTGTGACCGTGTAACACATAAATGTAGCAGTTGTGACCGTGTAACAGATAACTGCAACAGTTGTGAGAGTGTAACAGATAAATGCAACAGCTGTGACCGTGTAACAGATAATAGCAACAGTTGTGACCGTGTAACAGATAATAGCAACAGTTGTGACCGTGTAACAGACAACTGCAACAGTTGTGACTGTGTAACAGATTTTTTTTTTTTTTTTTGAATTATTTAGAAGCCATGAGTTGCCCTTAGGCTCGGTTTTATGGATATCGCAACCTTTCGGCCTTGATTCCATGAAATAAGTGCAACAGTTGTGAAGATGTAACAGATAAGTGTAACAGTTGTGAAGATGTAACAGATAAGTTTAACAGTTGTGACTGTGTAACAGATAAGTGTAACAGTTGTGAAGGTGTAACAGATAAGTGTAACAGTTGTGACTGTGTAACAGATAAGTGTAACAGTTGTGAAGGTGTAACAGATAAGTGTAACAGTTGTGAAGGTGTAACAGATAAGTGTAACAGTTGTGACTGTGTAACAGATAAGTGCAGTAACAACACGCAACATAAATACCTACACACATCTGGCATTCGGGTATCTTGGACAGGTGCTGACATCACAAGGAGCTACAAAACAGTTGAACGTTTTCACGCCGGCAGGACAGAGGTCACCCGCTGCGGACAGAGACATTGTTTTATACAGCGGTTCAAAACTCATGCTGCAGTACTTTGACAATCATCTTGAATACTCTTGCATGGATAACACGAATTCTTGCATGTGGTCATTGACATACAATGCCCTTTTGTTTTTGTTTTGTTTTTATAATTTACAACTGCACTTGTGCTGCTGCTTTCTCAAAGCGGCAATTATCTTTGATCCTACTTTGACTGATAATTTGTGTACCCGTTAAAAAAAGAAAAATTACACACTTTTGGATATTGTTTGGAAATAAAATCACCTGTAAAGCGAAGCCTGTGGATTATTATGCCTATAGGCATATCACGGAAATTGTGTTTATGCAACAACTCACGGGAGGTAACTCCTGTAGATGATCACTGGAGAGGCAAATGTCGATGACATGAGTGCAGTCTGATGTTTTAAACAGTTCCTCTTACTCAGTTACTTCAAGTTACTGTAAGCATGCTAATTGTTCGCTAAGAATTGGTGTCTGAGAAAAAGACGGCCTGTGACTCTCTAGGGTGTGTTAGACCCAGTCTCTCAATGTTTTAGAAGTGTTAAAGGCTCTAGCATTGTGAAATATTCAAAACGCGACATAAGCGCGAGTGCGGAACATTCCCGTGACCTTCAAGTCAGATCACTTGAAGGCGACCTATCATTAGTGAGGTGGTCAGTAGGTCATCCAGTCAGAAGCGGGCTAGTGTGTAGCAGTGTGTAAATAGGGAGACCAGCGTAACATTTAGTGATAGTTTTCCTGACTACACGTGGCAATGTCATGTGATAGTGTGTCATGTGAGAGTGTGTCATGTGAGAGTGTGTCATGTGATAGTGTGTCATGTGAGAGTACTTGACGAGTGTCATTGTGTGGTCAAATGGAGTTTTATCAAATATTGCACACACAACACAGACTTCGTTAGTTTTCTGGACAAAGCATCCGTCCTAAGCTATGTATGATGAACACCTGTGCCTGCACTTATGTCATCAATTGTCAGGTAATCCACACAAATATTCCTAAATCTGTGTCGTTACAACATTTACCGGATCATCCACACAAATGTTCCTATATCTATGTCGTTACAACATTTACAGGATCATCCACACAAATGTTCCTATATCTATGTCGTTACAACAGTTACCGGATCATCTACACAAATATTACTATATCTATGTCGTTACAACATTTACCGGATCTTCCACACAAATGTTCCTATATCTATGTCGTTACAACCGTTACCAAATCATCCACACAAATATTCCTATATCTATGTCGTTACAACATTTACCGGATCATCCACACAAATGTTCCTATATCTATGTCGTTACAACCGTTACCAAATCATCCACACAAATATTCCTATATCTATGTCGTTACAACAGCAATAATTCACAGCTAGAACAAAAGGACCACAAAGAACTGAGAACGTTCAGACAATCAGCCGGGCATGTCAATAGCTACACTCAGGTAAATAAATGCATGCGACCCTGAACACCCCCCCCCCCCCTCCCCCATCTTTCCCTAATCACTATAATTGTTTAGTCACGCTGAGTTTAAATTGATTATGTCTTGTCACAGTGATCGTAAATTGATTCCTTTTTGTCACAATGACTGTGAGTTGATTATGTCTTGACACAATGGCTGTGAGTTGATTGTGTCTTGTCACAATGATTGTGTGTTGATTGTGTCTTGTCACAATGACTGTGAGTGTCTTGTCACAATGACCGTAAATTGATTGCGTTTTGTCACCATTCCTGTGAACTGATTGTGTCCTCCAAACTGCGTTGTTGAATTGTTTGGGGACAGACCAAGATAACTGATCATATTCCCGACATACCCCTGCGCATATGTTGACGTCGCAGGTGCCAGGCGTTGGCCACATTGAACACCGCAGTTGTCTAAACTGTCCCCCAGAGTTTACAGCTGGCCAAAGATAAATAGAAGAACACTAACCACACAGACTGGTGAGGTCCGTGTTGTTGTAGACAAGAAAGAACACTTACCACACAGATTGGTGACGTTCCTGTTGTTGTAGACAAGAAAGAACACTTACCACACAGACTGGTGACGTTCCTGTTGTTGTAGACAAGAAAGAACACTTACCACACAGATTGGTGACGTTCGTGTTGTTGTAGACAAGAAAGAACACTCACCACACAGATTGGTGACGTTCCTGTTGTTGTAGACAACAAAGAACACTTACCACACAGATTGGTGACGTTCGTGTTGTTGTAGACAAAGAGTAACACTTACCACACAGACTGGTGACGTTCGTGTTGTTGTAGACAAAGAGTAACACTTACCACACAGATTGGTGACGTTCCTGTTGTTGTAGACAAGAAAGAACACTTACCACACAGACTGGTGACGTTCGTGTTGTTGTAGACAAGAAAGAACACTTACCACACAGATTGGTGACGTTCGTGTTGTTGTAGACAAGAAAGAACACTTACCACACAGATTGGTGACGTTCGTGTTGTTGTAGACAAGAAAGAACACTTACCACACAGACTGGTGACGTTCGTGTTGTTGTAGACAAAGAGTAACACTTGCCACACAGACTGGTGACGTTGGTGTTGTTTTAGACAAGGAAGAGCACTTACCACACTGACTGGTGACGTTGGTGTTGTTGTAGACAAGGAAGAGCACTTACCACACTGACTGGTGACGTTCGTGTTGTTGTAGACAAGGAAGAAGACTTACCACACTGACTGGTGACGTTCGTGTTGTTGTAGACAAAGAAGAAGTTGCAGCCCCCACAGTAATCCTCGCTGTAGGAGAGTCAACAGGAGGCTGTCAGTACATGAGTGTGTTCGCTCTTGTAGAGGCGTCATAAATGGGAAAGGAAAGAGGGATAGAGAGGCAGGTGCAAGTACACGGCTATGTGTGTTCTTGTATAGGCGTCAGACAGACAGACAGACAGACAGACAGACAGACAGACAGACAGACAGACAGACAGACAGACAGACAGACAGACAGACAGACAGACAGACAGACAGACAGACAGACAGACAGACAGACAGACAGACAGACAGACAGAGAAAGAGCAAGAATGCCTGAAAACATGGGTATGCGAATTATGTTACAGTGAATGTTATGTGAATTTCAGCTACATACACATATACACATACACACGCACACACACAGAACGAGAGAGACTGAGAGAGGGACGAACGAACAAAGAACCACTTTTTTGTTGTTGTTACAAATTGGGCACACAGACCCCGTTTCATTGTCCCCTCTAAACAGTCAGCTTTCACACAGCACATGTAATTTCTAATAGACTCACACCCACGTTCATATATACGCAAACTATGTGTTTACATACAAACATTGTGAAATTAAATGCATGAAGATGTTGACTGCATTTGTAATGGCATGCAGTCACTTTGAAGCATACACGTGTAGAGCAAGACAGCCAGAAGGAAGAAAAATGACACAATAGTGAGGTACATGTACATAATATATATATGTGTGTGTGTGTTCGTGTGTGTGTGTTCATAGAAGAGAAATGTTGACACAATCATAGACAGACTCCACAATTAATTCGCTAGCATGACAACATAAAGAAGAAGCTATGGTGTGATTAAAAACTACAAACAAAGAGAAGATTATACATATATTTTTATGTGTGTGTGTGGGTGTGTGTGTAAATATATATATATATATATTTACTGAGCAACCCTCTCAGTCATGTATATAAATGTAAACATATTTATTGACACAAATTTTATTGTTGCAACTGTATTATTATATTGTTTATATCTTCGTCTCTCTCTCTCTCTCTCTCTCTCTCTCTCTCTCTCTCTCTCTTGCTCTGTGTATCTCCCTCTCTCTCTCACGAGGGAGAAGTGGGGGGGGGGGGGGGGGTAAAAGAGGGTCTCTGACGGGTTGTAGAAGATCTCAGCGACCTAGACGACTTTAGACATCAATCCAGCCGCTCTGCTCAGGGAAAGTTTGAGAGACTGTCAGTAGCGGCCCTAATGAAAGGACTTAAACATCAGTAAAAGTACACAAATCATCAGAAAACAGAACATCTAAGTCTCGTCAATCATGAAGCTATAGAAGACAAAGAGTATATATACCCCGGTGGTGAGGTTGCAGCACAAGTGGATTGTGATTTATACATGTAAGTCAGTTGGACTCAGTGTGAAGACAGAATCAACAGGATTTAGTGTGAACACCGAGTCAAGTCAACGGGCCTTAGTGTCCAGAGAGAGTCAAGTCATCGAGACTTAGTGTCCAGACGGAGTCAAGTCAACGAGACTTAGTGTCCAGACAGAGTCAAGTCAACGAGACTTAGTGTCTAGACGGAGTCAAGTCAACGAGACTTATTGTCCAGACGGAGTCAAGTTAACGAGACTTAGTGTCAAGACGGAGTCAAGTCAACGAGACTTAGTGTCCAGACGGAGTCAAGTCAACGAGACTTAGTGTCCAGACAGAGTCAAGTCAACGAGACTTAGTGTCCAGACAGAGTCAAGTCAACGAGACTTAGTGTCCAGACGGAGTCAACTCAACGAGACTTAGTGTCCAGACGGAGTCAAGTCAACGAGACTTAGTGTCCAGACGGAGTCAAGTCAACAGGACTTAGTGTCCAGACAGAGTCAAGTCAACGAGACTTAGTGTCCAGACAGAGTCAAGTCAACGAGACTTAGTGTCCAGACGGAGTCAAGTCAACGAGACTTAGTGTCAAGACGGAGTCAAGTTAACGAGACTTAGTGTCAAGACAGAGTCAAGTCAACGAGACTTAGTGTCCAGACAGAGTCAAGTCAACAGGACTTAGTGTCCAGACAGAGTCAAGTCAACAAGACTTAGTGTCCAGACGGAGTCAAGTCAACGAGACTTAGTGTCAAGACGGAGTCAAGTTAACGAGACTTAGTGTCCAGACAGAGTCAAGTCAACGAGACTTAGTGTCAAGACAGAGTCAAGTCAACGAGACTTAGTGTCAAGACGGAGTCAAGTCAACAGGACTTAGTGTCAAGACGGAGTAAAGTCAACGAGACTTAGTGTCAAGACGGAGTCAAGTCAACGAGACTTAGTGTCAAGACGGAGTCAAGTCAACGAGACTTAGTGTCAAGACGGAGTCAAGTCAACGAGACTTAGTGTCAAGACGGAGTCAAGTCAACGAGACTTAGTGTCCAGACGGAGTCAAGTCAACGAGACTTAGTGTCAAGACGGAGTCAAGTCAACGAGACTTAGTGTCAAGACGGAGTCAAGTCAACGAGACTTAGTGTCAAGACGGAGTCAATTCAACGAGACTTAGTGTCAAGACGGAGTCAAGTTAACGAGACTTAGTGTCCAGACAGAGTCAAGTTAACGAGACTTAGTATCAAGACAGAGTCAAGTCAACGGGACTTAGTATCAAGACAGAGTCAAGTCAACGGGACTTAGTGTCAAGACAGAGTCAAGTCGACGGGACTTGGTGTCAAGACAGATTATTATACAACAGCAATATTTTAGAGTGCTATTATACAAGAGTGAATGTTGCAAATGATCGCAGCAACGAGGAACAGATGATAGATTTATTGAAATGAATGTATACAGATAATGCGGTAACCATGTTGGCAACACAAGATCACACATGCAGAACTGAAGAGGACAGCAACATTCTCTTCGCTGTCAAATATTATCAAAGACCAAATATGGAGATGGCTTCTACATTTGGGTGCAATACCTCATGACATTTTGGCCAGGACAGGTCTTCTATCGACGCAGGTGGGAAAAGGAGTCATTGATGACACAAGGAAACCTGGAGATGGACGGCAGAAAGGAAAAAGAGGAAGTATTAAAAGACATGTCATCCCAAGGGCAGACAAGCCGTAGAGCGACATCAGGGGAGATCACTTATGAATGCCTTATGTGTCTACGCCACATGTAGAGTATGTATATATAAATTGTGTATTTGCTTATCATTCCAAACATTATTATTATTCTCCCAAACTAGGATTAGGAGCCTTGATTTCCCCTTTAACATTTCCCCAATATGTTCTCTGCGCAGGTCAGCAACATGACCAGTTAAGGTGTTGTTTATGTCGCAACCAGGCAACGTGGCCAAGCCATTTCGGACAGAAGTGTGTCACCTTATCTTCTCCCAGCTACTGTTCCATCAAGCCTGCCAGTTTGTCACCAGCTGTTCTATCAAGCCTGCCAGTTTGTCACCGGTTGTTCCATCAAGCCTGCCAGTGTATCACCAGCTGTTCCATCAAGCCTGCCAGTTTGTCACCAGCTGTTCCATCAAGCCTGTCAGTTTGTCACCAGCTGTTCCATCAAACCTGCCAGTGTGTCACCAGCTGTTTCATCAAGCCTGCCAGTGTGTCACCAGCTGTTCGATCAAGCCTCCCAGTTTGTCACCAGCTGTTCCAGATGACGACTTCTCATCAGATGTCCACAAATCTGCCCTTGTCTACTCTCAAGTTCTCTCATCAGGTTATTATCGATTATGTTTACAATGACGAGGCGACAGAAAGCTACCACCTACAAATATACTGGTACATTTGAAAAAGACACCGACATTGCGGACAAGATGAGATGGGGCAGTCACAAGTAGAGGAGGATGGTGAAAATGATGACGACGGCGACAAAAAGGATGACGATGACAATAATAGCGATGGTGATAATGATGACGACGGCGACAGAAAGAATGACGATGACGATAGTTATGGTGATAATGTCTGACTAGGGGTGGCAGGCAAAGATGTTTCTCGCGTAACACCTCTCACACAAGTGGATGATGATGACGATGATGATGACGATGATGATGACGATGATGACGTCTGGTGCCTTGTAGAGCACGCAGAGAATGTTTGCTGGCCCTGACAACTCACACACATTTGGCCTCGGGGTAAGCCGGACACGTTTTGTTAGTGCAAGGTGCCACAAAACACTGGACAGGCGGGTTACCGTCTGGACACTTGGGCGGACTGGAGGCTGTGGAAGACAAGAATTGTCAGTCCCGTGGTCTGGCATGAACAGTGAGTTTTGCTTCCTTGTATCTTTGCAACCAACAGAACAGATGGGTCGAGCAAGACAAACATGCGAAGACTACTTGATCTATAGGGCGTGTACGGTGTTAAAATACTGCACCATTTCTTGGCAAACAATTATCCTGGAACGGGATTTGTATTTCTCTAAGAACTGCTATTGATATCACTATGTTAATATGTTACATGTAAGCAATATTCAGTTGTGCTCTTATTCACAATTAGGACAAACATAAGAAAAATTATCATCATCATCATGTAGCAGGTCCTATGCAGAACGTTGCTCTCATCACAGTCTGCCTGAAAGAAACTCGTTCTCTAGCCAGTTCTCCTGCCTCATGTACTTTCATACTCAAGGAGTCGCTTATATCCTGCTCAGATCTTTTAAGATGTCAATATTTCTCCTCTTCTTTGTCCAAGATATTCTGAGAATCTGTCAATAGCATTTCAGCTCAAAAGCCCCTTTTCTCTTTCTGAGAGTGTCCACGACTCACATCCGAATGCAGATACAGGAAAATGCATGCTCTCTATAATGAGGGATATTTTCACCCTGATTGGGAAGGTTGGGGGAAAGCCCCAAGCTAACAATAGTACCGAGAGAAGCCAGATACTCGGATTAACCGAGGTTATCAAGATAGGTGATGACCACAAGTTATCACGTGGAACCCAATTATAGCGACCACAGGTCGCCACGTGGAAGTAAAGGACCACCACGTGTTGCCACGTGAAACAAACACGGGTTATAAGTCAGACCCTAGTCTGATCAAGTTAGTATGTGTTGAACTGTCGGAGTGAAAGGACGGGAAACTGAGCGAGAGAAAGCCAACGTGAGACTGATTGCTGCGAGAGGAAGAGCAGACGACGACGTCCATTTGAAGCCAAGACCAGCCAGGCCAGTCTGTATGAAGTCGAGGAGAATAACCAGATCCATCTGTGCGAACTCTGGTCAGTGACTGTGTGAGAAACCAGCATGTTGGAGTCTGAGTAATGTGGTGTGTGCAAGCCGTTTCTTAGGTCAGGACGTTTACGTAAGTGATAAAATGAAAATAAACTGATGTATCGTACTGCTAAGTCGGTGTCGGCTTGTCCCAGTTATGCCATCGTAGAATGTGTGCTAAGAGCATTTACTACACACATCATCTCCTAGACAACTGCCAGTGCAAGCAGGGTTAGTACAACCACGGCTCCTTGCACTCTCAAAATTCTAATTTTGATCTCCTTGCTGGTACTTAACCATAGACTTTTAAGGCTGTTGAATCTTTGCATTGCTATGGCCATCATCTTTTTTAATGTCTGTCAAACAGTCTCCAATAATGTTTATTATAGAGCCTAGATATTCAAAGTTTGTGACATTTTCAATTTTTTTTAAATTTACTGTTATTTTTGGGTGACAGTCAGTTTTATATGTACACATTATTTTCGTTTTCTTTAAATTCAAAAACAGATTTTGATCTTCACTGTGCTTTTGGACAGATAATATTAAATAACATAAGAAACACTTTTTTATTTTTATTTTGAAAGGTCATTCGTTTGCACTTGAACTTAGTGCTGTATGACTCTTAAAGAGCAACTCAGCAAGGATTATCATATATTTATATACCAAGAATTAATATAAAAAATACATATTAATTGCTTGTTGTAGAGGAAAAGTGACGTAATATTGAGAATACAATAAATATTAATATATAATTTCATCCATTTATTTTCCATTCAGCTGAGATATAATATTTTAAACATCGGCGCCAAACTGTTATTCATGCAGTGTTGTGATAGTCATGTTGAGACAAATGTTCTACAATGCTGTGTGGAGATTTTCATGTTAAGACGAATGTTCTTCCATGCAGGGTGGTGATAGTCATGTTGAGACAACATTTCTTCCATGCCGTGTGGCGATAGTCATTTTGAGACAAAAGTTCTTCTAAGTCGTGTGCTGATAGTCATGTTGCGACAAATGTTCTTCCGTGCTGTGGGTTGGTGGCCTTTTTTTAAGACCAAGGCTCTTCATTGCTGTGTGACATTTGTCATGTTCAGATAAATGTTCTTCCACGCTGTGTAGAGATGGTCATGTTGAGACAGGTGTTCTACCATGTTGTTTAGGCATGGTCATGTTGAGACACATGTTTTACCATGTTGTGTAGTCATGGTCAGGTTGAAACGCATGTTTTCCAAGTTGTGTAGTGATGGTCATGTTGAAACGAATGTTCCTCAATGTTGTGTAGCGATGGTCATGTTATGGCAGGAGTTCTACAAGGTTGTGTAGAGATGGTCATGTTGAGACAGATGTTTAACCATGTTGTGTCGTGATGTTCGTGTTGAGACAAATATTCTTCCATGACCTTTTACCACGGTCGTCATGTTTATCCTCACCTTCTGTGGTTGTAACTGACAGTTTTTGCTCCTATTCTAGATCACTAATCGGTTCAACGTCGTTTTTCTTGACCAGCCTCTAATAATCAGCTCTAGTTCTTCCTGACCTGCCTCTGGTCATCAGCTCTCGTTTTTCCTGACCTGCCTCTGGACATCAGCTCTCGTTCTTCTTGACCTGCCTCTGGTCATAAGCTCTCGTTTTTCCTGACCAGCCTCTGGTCATCAGCTCTAGTTCTTCCTGACCAGCCTCTGGTCATCAGCTCTCGTTCTTCCTGACCTGCCTCTGGTCATGAGCTCTCGTTCTTCCTGACCTGCCTCCGGTCATCAGCTCTCGTTTTTCCTGACCTGCCCCTGGTCATCAGCTCTCGTTTTTCCTGACCTGCCTCTGGTCATCAGCTCTCGTTTTTCCTGACCTGCCTCTGGTCATCAGCTCTCGTTCTTCCTGACCTGCCTCTGGTCATCAGCTCTCGTTCTTCCTGACCATTCACATTTCCAAGGTGCTGGTCATTATGGGAGTGGGTTTATTTATTTTTTTTTTGCTATCTACATGTGGCTTTTGTCTGGGTATCTACATATATATGTGGCTTTTGTCTGGGTATCTACATATATATATATGGTTTTTGTCTGGGTATCTACATATATATGTGGCTTTTGTCTGGGTATCTACATATATATGCGGTTTTTGTCTGGGTATCTACATATATATGTGGCTTTTGTCTGGGTATCTACATATATATGTGGTTTTTGTCTGGGTATCTACATATATCTGCGGCTTTTGTCTGGGTATCTACATATATATGCGGCTTTTGTCTGGGTATCTAAACATATATGAGGATTTTTGTTGGATATCTAAATACATATGTGGACTTTTGTTTGGCTATCTACATATATATGTGGCTTTTTGTTAGGGTGCGGCGTCCGTGGCTAGGGCGTTGCGAGTCCGACTCGTAATTCCAACGTACCGCAATTGAAACCTACTGCAGGCTGCGTGGGTTTTTATCATGGTATGGGGCGTCGCAGGTCGACCCAGCCTAAAATGGGTACCAGGATGGGCTGTCCTGGGAAAGTAAAGACAGCCGGCGTAATGCTGACCACATTACCCACAGAGTGCTGATGGTCTGTAAAAATATGGGAGGCTCTGCCCATATGCCCGATGCGCCGAAAGGCGTGAAAAGGGATCTTTACTTTTTTTTTATGGGGCGTCGCAGGTCGACCCAACCTAACATGGGTACCAGGATGGCTGTCCAAGGGAAGTAAAGACGGCCGGCGTAATGCTGACCACATTACTTACCTAGTGGGTAGACCGATGGTCTGTGAAAATATGGGCGTTCTTCCCATATACCCGATACGCCTAAAGGCGTCTTTACTTTTACTTCACTTTACTTTTGTCAGTATATTTAAATATACATTTTTTTCAGGCTATCTACATACATATGTGCATTTCTGTCTAGCTAACTACATACATATGTGCATTTCTGTCTAGCTATCTACATACATGTGTGCATTTCTGTCTAGCTAACTACATACATGTGTGCATTTCTGTCTAGCTATCTACATACATGTGTGCATTTCTGTCTAGCTAACTACACACATATGTGCATTTCTGTCTAGCTAACTACATACATGTGTGCATTTCTGTCTAGCTAACTACACACATATGTGCATTTCTGTCTAGCTAACTACATACATATGTGCATTTCTGTCTAGCTAACTACACACATATGTGCATTTCTGTCTAGCTAACTACACACATATGTGCATTTCTGTCTAGCTAACTACATACATGTGTGCATTTCTGTCTAGCTAACTACATACATATGTGCATTTCTGTCTAGCTAACTACATACATATGTGCATTTCTGTCTAGCTAACTACATACATGTGTGCATTTCTGTCTAGCTAACTACATACATGTGTGCATTTCTGTCTAGCTAACTACATACATGTGTGCATTTCTGTCTAGCTAACTACACACATATGTGCATTTCTGTCTAGCTAACTACATACATGTGTGCATTTCTGTCTAGCTAACTACATACATGTGTGCATTTCTGTCTAGCTAACTACATACATGTGTGCATTTCTGTCTAGCTAACTACATACATATGTGCATTTCTGTCTAGCTAACTACACACATATGTGCATTTCTGTCTAGCTAACTACATACATGTGTGCATTTCTGTCTAGCTAACTACATACATATGTGCATTTCTGTCTAGCTAACTACACACATATGTGCATTTCTGTCTAGCTAACTACATACATGTGTGCATTTCTGTCTAGCTAACTACATACATATGTGCATTTCTGTCTAGCTAACTACATACATGTGTGCATTTCTGTCTAGCTAACTACATACATGTGTGCATTTCTGTCTAGCTAACTACATACATATGTGCATTTCTGTCTAGCTAACTACACACATATGTGCATTTCTGTCTAGCTAACTACATACATGTGTGCATTTCTGTCTAGCTAACTACATACATGTATGCATTTCTGTCTAGCTAACTACATACATGTGTGCATTTCTGTCTAGCTAACTACATACATATGTGCATTTCTGTCTAGCTAACTACA